CCGGGCCCTTCGGCAAGGCGATTTCCACGGACGTGTCTAGGTCCCCCGTGGAGAGGGACTGTGCAGTGGTCTCCGGCAGAGTGGTCGTGAAGGCGGCCAGGCGTTCCACACTGGGAAAGGCCCAGGCGAAGTCTGCTATGGTTCGGTAGCCCTGGTCGGACAGGGCGGAGCACAGCAGGGCGTTGACGCGGCAATTTTTGAGCAGGTCCTGGAAGGCAGTCGGGCAGTCCATGGCACCAGCTGCGGTGGTGCTTAGAACCATCAACCCTAAACCCTTAAGCCTTAGAGGGGTTTTCGATTTGGGGGTTCGGGGCTGAAAGCCCAGTTTGAGGTCTAGGTCTTCGGGCTTCGGGCTTAGGGTTTAGGGTTTTGCCCCTTGAGGAACAGAGGGGCTGCACTTGGTGAAGTTTACTGGAACCCTCGTATAAGGGGTACAAGCGACCTTGGAGATACGAGTTTGTGTCCCAACCTAAGCCCAAACCCTACAAACCACCAAACCCGACACCCCCAAACCCTAAACCCCTATAACCCCTCTAGCCCCTATAACCCCTATCACCCCTATAACCAGTATAACCCCTATAACCCCAACAACCTAGATAACCCCAATATTCCCTGCCCCAACCCTAAACAGTAAACCCAAAAAACACCAAACCCTAAACTCCAAACGCCAAACCCAAACCCTAAACCCCAAACCCTAAACCCCAAACCCCAAACCGCCTATCCCCGAAGAGCCCTATTTCCCCGCCGGTCCGTGGCATCAAAGACCATGGTGGCATCGGGTGTGCGGGGGGAGGCCTGGAGCCAAAAAGAAAAGAAGGGGGCTTCAGCCCCGTCGGGTTTAGGGTTTAGGGTTTAACCCTAAACCCTAAACCCTAAACCTTTCGGGTTTAGGGGTTTGCAGCTGTTGGATCCGTAAAAGCATGTCTTTCAACATTTGCTTAGGAGATTCGGCTTTCGGGAAGACCCGTGCCGGCGTAGATGGGGGTGTCCGAAAGTAGGAGGAAACCCTAAACCCTAAACCCTAAACCCTAAACCCTAAACCCTACACCCTAAACCCTAAACCTAAACCCTAAATCCTAAACCCTAAACCCTAAACCCTAAACCCTAAACCCTAAACCCTATCCACTGGATTGAGCAATCCGCCACTGTCCTAAGCCCTAAACCCCAAACTCTAAGGCAAGTCACATGGCCCCAAAGTATGGGCCCAAAAATGGTGGATCCCTTATACACCCCTTATGTGCACTTTGCAAATGAAGGGCCCATGCATCAGAAGCCTTTAAGGGAAGTCAGGGGCCACATTTTGGGCCATGTAACTACCCTCCCTAAACCCTAAACCCTAAACCCTAAACCCTAAACCCTAAACGCTAAGCCCTAAACCCTGAACCTGAACCCCATCTCCTCGTTGCTCTCACTCCACAGCGGCGCTAGCGCGTCCACATCAGGCGCCTGGTACGTTTCTGGTTGAGGGGAGGGGGGGGGGGGCTCAAGGTGGAGTGTCCTGGGCTTTGGGGATTGGGGATTGGGGATTGGGGATTGGGGTTTGGGGTTTGGGGTTTGGGGTTTGCGGTTTGGGGTTTGGAGTTCAGCGCAAGGGCTTGGGCTAAGGGTGTAGGGTTCTTGGATCCTGCAAGGCCTAAACGTTTAGGACTCCGAGCCCTAAGCGGGCTTAGGGGTGCAGAAAGGTTTAGGGAGTTTAGCAAACCCTGAACCCTCACTAACCCTAAGGCCGAAACCCTAAACCACGGACAAAGGTTCAGGGTGAAGTGATGCGGGTATCACGTTCCGTGTGGAAAGAACAACTTGCGAGCCCTTGTCCTAAACCGTTGGTTGTCGCTTGGATCTTGCTCGTTCGCTTAAGGTTTAGGGTTTTGGGTCTAGGGTTCAGGGTTTAGGGTTTAGGCACCCTTAAAACCCTAAACCCTCAACGCTTGATTGAGGTTAGGCCGGCCTAAGTGGCCCTATAGGAATTGAGTGCTTCGTTTCTGGGGTTAGGGGTTTAGGGTTTAGGGTTTCCCTTTGCCCCACACCGCTGCGTGGCATCCGAGACGACCATGGTGGCAGGCTGCTAAACCCGACTTGAACCCTAAACCCAGGATGTCAAAAGTGAAAAGCTACCCTCGACGAAGATTAAAACCTAAACCACTCATACCTATATACATATACATATATATATATATACTACATACATATATATGAAAACACCTTAAGCCCTTGGCGGGCAAAAACACAACGATTCCTGGGCAGAGACACAACGGTTCGTGGGCACACGCACGCCTCTTGACTCTCCTCTATGCAGGCAGAATCGGCACAACGTTTCGTGGGCCTAGGCACAACAGCTCGTGGGCATAGGCACGACGGTTCGTCGGCATAGGCACGCCCAGGGGGGTCCAAGGGGGTCTTGGGGGTCTCAGAAGGGGGGGCCTCATAGCAGGCTTACGGTTTCAGGGCTTAGGGTTCACATAAGGTTTAAGTTTTGTCAAGGTAAAGTGAGAGACGTTGAGGCGCATGGTGTAGGGCCCTAGTGCGTGGATTCTAAGGTTGATGGATTGAGCGAACTTCTTGTTTTTTGAATGTTATGGGATTCTTTGAGCGAGTGGATATTTTCCTGTCGCTGCAGAAGCTGCCTGACAAGTGAAAGCTAGAACATGAGATGCTGAACCTAAACCCTAAACCCTAAACTACCCTAAACCCTAAACCCTAAACCCTACACCCTAAACCCTAAACCCTAACCCTAAACCCTAAACCCTAAACCCTAAACCCTAAACCCTAAACCCTAAACCCTAAACCCTAAACCCTAAACCCTAAACCCTAAACCCTAAACCGCAGCCTCACGAAGGGCCACGAGGTGACAGCTGTGCCCCGCGGCGTCGATAAACCTCTGCAACCGTCAGGGCCCTGGGAGCCCTCTTGAAGCCTTTGGGTTTAGGGTTTAGGGTTTAGGGTTTAGGGTTTAGGGTTTAGGGTTTAGGGTTTAGGGTTTAGGGTTTAGGGTTTAGGGTTTAGGGTTTAGGGTTTAGGGTTTAGGGTTGGGGGTTTAAGGGTCTAAGGCAAGGGTTTGGGGCTTTAGGGCTTTAGGGTTTAAGGTGCTTGAGGGTTTAGGGCTGGGTTGAAGGGTTTTCAGGATAATCCGAAAACCCTAAACCTTAAACCCTAAACCGTAAACCCTAAACCCTAAACCTTAGGGTTAAGGTATGGGGGCTTTAAGGGTTTAAAGCAAAACAAGGGGGCCTGCAGACGCAATACTCAAGAGATTTCATGCAGAGCACGGTGGGGGAGAGCACACCTAAGACAAACTAACCTCTGGTCGTCAGCCGAAGCAGGGGCTTAGGGTTTAGGGTCTAGGGTTTAGGGTTTAGGGTTTAGGGTTTGGGGTTTAGGGTTTAGGGTTTAGGGAGGGTTTAGGGTTTAGGGTTTAGGGTTCCGGGTTGGAGCAATTCAGCCAAGTTGCTTCGTGTGCAGCAGGTCTACGCGGATGCTGCCACCTGGCTGACAGGGCGCGGTTTAGGGTTAGGGTTTAGGGTGCAGGGTTTAGGGTTCAGGGTTCAGGCTGGCTGTCCGGTTGTGATAAACTTGAGCGAACTAGGGAAAGCAAGCGACTCGTGCAAGATGTGGGCAATTCTCCAAAATAGGTTCCCTTTCAGGTGTCCCCATCCATATACAGTACGGCACCATATAGAAAAGGGCCCTAATCTGGATAACTGCTCTGACATGTATGCGGATACAGGGCAGGGTGTTGTGCGTGCACATACACTCAGACATGTCCGACGTAAACCATCTTCGAAGAAAAGTCCGGGCAGATGCAGCAAAGCTTCGGGAACTTGGAGTTCCCAAAGACTCGCCCCCCCCCCCCCACCCCCTCGCCCCCCACCCCCCCCTCCTCCCCATGAAACCCGCGAGCTTGCACACAGCAGGTTCGAGAAACGCCAAAAGCCCAAGACTTGAGGGTTCAAGGCTTGATGTAGGGGCCTTCATCATTAGAATAGGGTTTGGGGGGGTTCTTATCGTGTGATTACAAAGGGGCCATAAGGGGATACGATTAGTAACTATTCCGACCCCCATATTATCTGCTGGGATTAGGGCTTCAGGTTTGGGGCTTACGCATATCTGTATGCACGTATCTGCCACAAAACCCTACTCCCGAAACCCTAAACCCATAAACCTCTGAAACCCCAAATCCCCAAAACCCAAAAACCCCAAAACCCTAAACTCACAAAAAGTTGAAGTTGACAAAAAAAAAACACGCGGCCTCCCAGTGAATTCAGCATCCCGGCTCCAATGGGAACTCCCTGTCCAGCCTACAATGCGCCACTCCAAGCATCATCGGAGGGTTTAAGGGCTTAGGCTTTCAAGTCCGGAGTTTAGGTTTAGGGTTTAGGGTGTAGTGTTTAGGGTTATTGCCCAACGGGGGGGGAGGAGTGCCCAACGGGGGGGGAGGAGTGCAAAAAATGCAACGAACAACCAAAAAACCCCCCCAGTTATTGTAGGTTGAGGGTTTAGGGAGCCCCCCGTCCTAAACTAAGAGCGCCCTGGAGTCTTAGGGCGAGGCTAAGCAGGTTGGGACCCTAAACCCTAAACCCTAAACCCTAAACCCTAAACCCTAAACCCTAAACCCTAAACCCTAAACCCTAAACCAACGAGGGGCCTATCTGCCCCATTGAAGGCCTTTTGCTCCTGCTAACTCTCTGAAGCAGGGGCCGGTCGAGGCCTTCTCCCAGAACACCGAACATCCCCTTGCTAGGGGGCCTTGAGCAAGAGACCCACCCCGCCATTTAGGGTTTTTTTGGGCTTGGGGTTAAGGACTTAATAAGGGGGATCTTCTGAGGCATGCTTGTTTCGGGCTCATCGGGTGCTTAGGGAGTTTTTTTGTTTTCATTCTGTCTTTTTGTGTTTCTTTCTGTTAAGGTTCTTTGCTTAATTTGAAAATTCTTCGGGCTCCTTCCTAACCCTCAACCCTAAGTCTTCAACCCTACCCCGAACCCTGGCTTTGAGAGAGCCTGGGTTCAGGCTGCAGGGCTGGCCTCAGATCCCTTCAGCTCAAGATATCTCGACTTCTTAAACGGGGTCCTCTCGCAGGGCTCTGGGGTTTCGGGTTTAGGGACTCCTTTCTTAAGGGTTTAGGGTTGCTTAGGGTTTGGGGTTTGGGGTTTGGGGTTTGGGGTTTAGGGTTTAGGGTTTAGGGTTTAGGGTTTAGGGTTTAGGGTTTAGGGTTTAGGGTTTTAGGGTTCCAGTACATCCCACACCAAATCCTGCATTTTCTAGTCGAGGATGGCACTAAGAACCCTCTGAAACGAATCTTCCCCAATTATGATCTTCTGACAACTTCAAACCAAGAAGGGACAATGTCCCCCTCGTTCTGAGTCGGGAATGAGGGAATTAGGGCCCTCTATGTATATATATATATATATATGTATATACCGTTTAGGGGATTATTTGGGTATCTCATTCCCTCACTCCCGCCTAAGAACCAGCCAGATGTGCAATATTCCAAGTGTTTGCCTGGAGTTAACCTGGCAGGTTACAAACACGACGGCTTTAAGAGGTGCGCGCCCGAGTCCTGCGCATTGGAATCAGGCATATTGCGGACGAAAGTGCTGAAAGGATTTAGGGCTTGGCGTTCAGGAAAATTAAGGTGAACTTTGAGAAAGTGTGCGTAGTGAAGCGCACAGGGCGGCTGAAAAGCATGGATTAGGGGCAACCCAGAAAACCCAGAAGCCGCCATACCCGGAGCCCTTAAAACTAAACCCTAAACCCTAAACCCTCAACCCTCAACCCTCAGCCCTCAACCCTCAACCCTCAACCCTAAACCCTAAACCCTAAACCCTAAACCCTAAACCCTAAACCCTAAACCCGAACGAACAAAAGTGTCCCACAGCCGCCTGGCACAGTGCGGTCTGAACTGCCGTGCGGTCCTTCATGGGAATGACCCTAAACCCTAAACCCTAAACCCTAAACCCTAAACCCTAAACCCTAAACCCTAAACCCTAAACCCTAAACCCTAAACCCTAAACCGTTCCGCACTAGACCATGTCGGAGGTTAGCAGATTGAACCTTACAACCCAAAACTCCTTCCTAGGCTTTGAGGTAGAGGTGTGTAAGAGCCTCAGGGTTTAGGGTTTATCAACCCTAAACCCTAAACCCGAAACCCTAAACCAAACCCTAAACCGTCAACCCTGAATCCTGCACCGGTCTATCGCTGACTGTTCTTTATGGTCGTATGTCGCGTTGAATATAGAGGGTTTAGGGTTTAGGGTTTAGGGTTCTGGGCTCATTTGCCTTCAGTGGTGAAGAAGCTCAGGGCTTTGGGGCTTGAGGGTCTGATATTGACCAACCCAATTTAAAAACCCTCAAAATACTAAACCCTAAACCCTAAACCCTCGAAACACCTGCGTACACCGAAATTGCACGCAGAAGGCACGATGGGCATCCTAAATGCACCTATAGATACAGGCAAAATAAGCCCTTAACCTCCTAAACCCCAAACCCTAAACCCCAAACCCTAAACCCTAAACCCTAAACCTCGCGTCCTCCGGACAGAAGAACTCGATGAACTCGGACCCGGCCAGGCCGCCCCTGGACCCAGGCTCTCCAGACAGGAGCCTTGGCTTCCGAGTGTGTAGGGTTTAGGGTTTAGGGTTTAGGGTTTAGGGTTTAGGGTTTAGGGTTTAGGGTTTAGGGTTTAGGGTTTAGGGTTTAGGGTTTAGGGTTAAGGGTTTAGGGTTTCGGGTCTAGGGTCTAGGGTTTAGGGTTGAGGGTTGAGGTTGAGGGTTGAGGGTTGAGGGTTGAGGGTTGAGGGTTGAGGGTTGAGGGTTGAGGGTTGAGGGTTGAGGGTTGAGGGTTGAGGGTTGAGGTTTGAGGGTTGAGGGTTGAGGGTTGAGGGTTGAGGGTTGAGGGTTGAGGGTTGAGGGTTGAGGGTTGAGGGTTGAGGGTTGAGGGTTGAGGGTTGAGGGTTGAGGGTTTAGAGTTTAGGGCGGGTGTTCGGGCTTAGGGTGATTTAGGGTGACAACAGACGTGGTTGTTAAGGGTGTAGGGTTTGGTGTTCGGATTTACGGTGATTTACGGTAGTTTGTGGATGTTATAGGCAGTTAGGTTGCCTAGGGTCGTGGAAACTGCGGGCATTTAGGGTATTTAGGCATTTAGGGTGTTAAGGGTGATAAGGGTGGTCAGTGTTGAGAGTGTGGGATCACGTAGCAGTTCTAGGCCAATCAGAGGGTTATAAGTACGATTACAGTTAGGGTGTTTAGGGCGTCTAGGGTGTTTAAGGTGTTTAGGGGGTTTACCCTAAACCCTAAACCCTACACCCTACACCCTAAAACCCTAAACCCTAAACGCTGAACCCTAAACCCTAAACCCTAGTGTGTAGGATCAAGTACCAAGTCTAGGCCAAGCCTAGAGTTAAAGTGCGGTTACAACCTCAACTACGAACAGCAGACCTCTCCCTTCACCAAGCACTCCGGCCATCCCTACCCTAAACCCTAAACCCTAAACCCTAAACCCTAAACCCTAAACCCTAAACTGGGCGGGACCCCAAAAGGGTACACCAACTTACAAGACTGGCTATATGTCAGACACGTGTATATACATACATACATACATACATACATACATACATACATACATACATACATACATACATACATACATACATACATACATACATACATACATACATACATACATATCTATATCTATATCTATACATATACATATATATATATTACTACCCCTACAGCCACCACGGGGACAAACCCTGCGAACCCTGGCCCAACTCATGCGCAACCTACTCCTCCTAAACCCTAAAAGCCTAACCTCTGCATCTTGAACCCTAGGGTTTAGGATTTAGGGTTTAGGGTTTAGGTTGAGGGTTGAGGGTTGAGGGTTGAGGGTTGAGGGTTGAGGGTTGAGGGTTGAGGGTTGAGGGTTGAGGGTTGAGGGTTGAGGGTTGAGGGTTTTACACCATAAAAGGGCTTAGAACTTACAACCAAAACCTGTTCAGGTTGGGGTCTAAAAAGGAATCTTCTTGCGGGACCACGCTCCTAGAGTAGCCCCTTCCTTGAAGAAAGTAGGGCTTGTGAAGGGGGTTTAGGGTTTAGGGTTTAGGGTTTAGGGTTTAGGGTTTAGGGTTTAGGGTTTAGGGTTTAGGGTTTAGGGTTTAGGGTTTAGGGTTTAGGGTTGAGGGTTTAGGGTTTAGGGTTTAGGGTTTAGGGTTTAGGGTTTAGGGTTTAGGGTTTAGGGTTGTTCATGTGGAAGCCGCAATAGGAAAGACACAACCCTTGACACGGAAGCAAGATAGAAACCCTCAACCCTAAACTCTAAACCCTCAACTTTAGGGGACCTAAACCCTAAACCCTAAACCCTAAACCCTAAACCTGAAACTGAAACCCTGAACCCTGAACCCTGAACCCTGAACCCTGAACCCGCAGCCCAGGAAGCGTTGTGGAGAGCTGCCGGGAATCCTCCGTCAGCCGCAGATCCTGGAAGAACTGCCGGGGTTTAGGGTTTAGGGTTTAGGGTTTCGGGTATAGGGTTTAGGGCTTTGGGATGAGGGTTTGGGGTTTAGGGTTTTCGGTACTCCTGACTTTTGGAACTCCCCCCACCCACATTGTAACAAGACAACTCCCGCTGCTCACCAAAGCTACGACCGTGGCTGCTCGCACCAAAGTTGGAGGCTTCAAAGCCCCAAACATACCTCTTGTGCTTCGGGTTTAGGGTTTCATTTCGGGTTTAGGGTTTAGGGGCTTGGGGTTTAGGCTGTAAAGGTTTAGGGTTTATAGGGCTTAGGGCTAGGCAGGCAGGCGCGCGCGCGCGCGCGCGCTCGCACTCGTGCGGGGTCCTCGTCGAGCTCCACCACGGAATCGCAAAGGCCCAAGAGCCTCGACCCGCCGTGTAAACGTGCTACGACGTTCAGAAACAAGGAAAACATGCTAGGGCCATACAAGTAATATGAGTAAATAAATAAATATATATATATATATGTATCATATATGTGGGTGCATACATATATATATATACATACATATACACAGAACCCTGGATCCTAAACCCTAAACTCTAAGCGTTATGGTTCCGGGAGGCCCCCAGCCCCTGAGTGCTCTCACAAGCTCTGCCCCGCACCCTAAACCTTAAACCCCAAGCAAAAACCCTACACCCTAAACCCGAAACCCGCAACCCGAAACCCTAAACCCTAAACCCTAAACCCTAAACCCTAAACCCTAAACCCTAAACCCTAAACCCTAAACCCTAGTCAAGCTGGGGCGCAAGTTGGAGATGGCTTCCAGCTCGATCTGTCGGCTCTTCAGGTCCAAGCTCAACTGAACGCTCGTGTGAAGCTGCCTCGTTGGGGGTTTAGGGTTTAGGGTTTAGGGTTTAGGGTTTAGGGTTTAGGGTTTAGGGTGTAGGGTTTAGGGTTTAGGGGTTTAGGGGTTTAGGGGTTTAGGGTTTGGGGTTTAGGGGCTAGGGTTTAGGGTTTAAGGTTCACGAAGCCCTAAACCCTAAACCCTCAACCCTAAACTCCCCCGAGCCACCTGAAGGTTTGGGGGGGGTGTAGTTGGGGAAACCCTAAACCCTAAACCCTAAACCCTAAACCCTAAACCCTAAACCCTAAACCCTAAACCCTGGGAATGCGCATTTGCTTTTTGGGGAGGGGGGGGGGGGTAAGTCTCTCTTGCAGCCGTCGAACAAGAGGGGGGTTTAGCGTCTAGGGTTCAGCGGTGCTTTTGCCTAAATCAAGACCCAGACTCGGTCCCCTAAACCCGACGCCCTAAACCCTCAAGCCCTTAAACCCTGCAGACCTAAACCCTGCAGACCTAAACCCCTAAACCCCTAAACCCTAAACCCTAAACCCGAAAACCCCCCTCAACAGCCCCCCTCTGCCTGCGGACCAGCCATGTCCCTGCAAAGAGGCCAACCAGCTCTGCCGCCTGCAAACCGACATCCACAGGCGCCTCCACAAGGGCTTTCGTGTAGGGGTTTAGGGGGTTTAGGGGGTTTAGGGGTTTAGGGTTTAGGGTTTAGGGGTTTGGGGTTTAGGGTTTAGGGGGTTTAGGGGGTTTAGGGGGTTTAGAGGTTTAGGGGTTTAGGGTTTAGGGTTTAGGGTTTAGACCTTAGGGTTTAGGGGTTTGGGGTTTAGGGTTTTAGGGTTTTAGGGTTTAGGGTTTAGGGTTTAGGGTTTAGGGTTTAGGGTTTAGGGTTTAGGGTTTAAGGTTTACGGTTTAGGGGTTTAGCAGCTTAGGGGTTTAGGGACATTTAGGGTTAGGGTTTAGGGTTTGGGCTTTGGGGTTTTAGGGTTTCGGGTTTAGTAGGTAGACTTTTCAGCCATCTGCAAGAAAAACTGCCCTAGCCAGGGTTCTACAACTAGTCAATGGCCCGCATTGTTGGCTGGGAGCCAGCAGGGTTCTCCACGCAAAACGCCTGAACAAGCTGCCACAGAGCCCAACGCCCGTGAGCCCGAACCGCCCTAAACCCTAAAGCCGAAACCCCAAACCCAAAACCCTCAACCCTCAACCCTCAACCCTCAACCCTCAACCCTCAACCCTCAACCCTCAACCCTCAACCCTCAACCCTCAACCCTCAACCCTCAACCCTCAACCCTAAACCCTAAACCCTAAACCCTACCCTGGGCCTGGAAGTGCTGGCACTTCAAAACCAGAAGGGAATGGAGGACGTGCCCGCACAGCGGCAGAGCAACGTGCTTGGCCGAAAGCCCGGCAAAGAGGCGCGGGAGTAGCGTGAGGCCCTGCTTGGATGGCGATTTAGGGTTTAAGGGCTTAAGGTTTAGGGTTTACAGTCCCTAAGCCCTAAACCCTAAACCCTAAACCCCAAACCCTAAACCCTAAACCCTAACCCAGAACCCGCAGGTGAGAGGGGCCGGGGTTATCTAGGGGTTGTGCCTTGGACCCTAGGGTTGTACCCTTGGGTTTTGGGGACCCCTTTTTGAACATCCGTCGAGTAGTATACGGGTCCGTACTAGCAGCATATTCAGGTGAAGAACTTCTAAGGGCACGATACGAGTCTTAATCCCTTGAGTTTCGAATTGGTTACTTTTTTTTAAGGGGACCTTGAACCAACAACTTGGGAAAAAGGGTACCACTGGGCTGCCCTCGTCTAATTCTGGGGGTTCCTGGGAGTTCCTGGCGTGTCGGGTTCAGGTTTACGGTCTTGCTGACCAGGTGCTGCTAAATACTTGATGTCGGCCGCCGGCGCCAGCCAAATGGGGACAGCATACAGGAGCTGGTTCAATGCGTAGAATACATCCAGGGTTGTGGGCTTCACTGCCCTCTGGCAGACGACGCAGAACATGGACACTGGATATGCCAGCATGTAAGTAAAGTCCATGGGCTGCAACTTATAAGCCTCATTCCTGCACCATTGTTGGGGGTCATCTTTAAAATGACCCTTTTGTTCCAATCTGGGTTTGAGAAGTCTTAATAAACATGAAAAACAAGATTGTCAACAATGACCCAGATTCCGAAAATGATACCATTGAATCGTTACCAACCACAGGAAGGAGAAGATGCCCAGGATCCTTGAGCAGCGCACTAGCCTGGCCAGAGGGTTCAGGGGGTTTAGGGGGTTTAGGGTTTAGGGTTTAGGGTTTGGGGTCTAGGATTTAGGGTTTAGGGTTTAGGGTTTAGGGTTTAGGGTTTAGGGTTTAGGGTTTAGGGTTTCGGGTTTAGGGTTTAGGGTTTAGGGCTCTCCGAAGCCCAGAAACATCGCAGCCTTGGTAGCTTTCGAGGGTGAGCGGATACATCTGCCCTAAAGTGCTAAACTTGAACCCTTAAACGCTAAACCCTAAACCCTGGACCCTGGACACCTAAACCCTAAACCTAAACCCTCAACCCTAAACCCTGAACTCCCTAAATCGTTGCGTCTTCCAGAGCAGGTGGCAGCTGGCACAGGGCAACTTGAAGCTTCTGGGCCACCTGTGCAGAATTAGGGTTTAGGGTTTAGGGTTTAGGGTTTAGGGTTTCGGGTTTAGGGTTTAGGGTTTAGGGTTTAGGGTCTAGGGTTTAGGGTTTAGGGTTTACGGTTTAAGGCCACCTGAGCAGAATTCTGGGCACCAAGATTGATTTGTGGCGTTTCAGGGTTTAGGGCCTTAAGGCCGTTTAGGGTTTTAGGGTTTTCGGGCATAGGGGGTTTAGGGGGGTTTAGGGGGGTTTAGGGTTTAGGGTTTAGGGCTTAGGGTTTAGGGTTTAGGGTTTAGGGTTTAGGGTTTAGGGTTTAGGGTTTAGGGTTTAGGGTTTTGGGCTTAGGGCTTAGGGTTTCGGATTCAGGGCTTAGGGCTCTAGGCTCTATGGCTTGAGGATTCCAGGACTTCTTCTCTACTGTGGGTCTTCCGGGAGTCTCCATGGTGGAACTGTGTATAGCTTTGGTACCCTAAACCCTACACCCTAGACCCTAAACCCAATCCTGCCTAAATCCCCGAATCCTGACGGATGAGGCTGAAACGCCGTAAGCCCTGAAACCCTGATGCACCTGAAGCCCAGAGACCTGCGGACCCGTAAACCCTAAAACCCTAAAAGCCCGAAATAAACTCTTAAACCCTTAACTCCTACACCTCTAACTCCTAAACCCTGAACTCTAAACCCATAAACTCCTAAACCCTAAACCCTGAAACTCTAAACCCTAAACTCCTACACTCCTAAACTCCTGCACCCTAAACTCCTAAACTCCTAAACACTAAACTCCTAAGCCTTAAAACCCTAAACCCTAAACTCCTACAATCCTAGACTCCTACACCCTAACCTCCTAAACCCTTCAAACACGAAACTCCTGTATAGACCCTAAACCCACAACCCTAAACTCCTCAACCCTAAACCCTAAACCCTAAACCCTAAACCCTAAACCCTAAACCCTAAACCCTAAACCCTAAACCCTAAACCCTAAAGTCCCCCTCAAAGCCCGGGGCACCTGCGGATCAGGATCCTGCACATCTGCGAGCCAAGCCCTGCACCGGCCAAACTGCTGTCCCGCCCTGTGCGCGACACGTGCCCAGCCATACTTCCTGTAGGGTTTAGGGTTTAGGGTTTAGGGTTTAGGGTTTAGGGTTTAGGGTTTAGGGTTTAGGGTTTAGGGTTTAGGGTTTAGGGTTTAGGGTTTAGGGTTTTGGGTTTAGGGTTTAGGGTTTAGGGTTTAGGGTTTAGGGTTTAGGGTTTTGGGTTAGGATTAGGGTTTAGGTAAACCAGCGGTAGTGGGCATGGTAGATTACCCCCCCTCCGGCAAAAAAAAACCGGCAAGCAGCCTGAAGCCCTAAACCCTAAACCCTAAACCGTAAACCATAAACCCTAAACCTCATCCCTAAACCCTAAACTCTAAACCCTGGCACAGGTCCCCGTCCTACAATACTTCACCAGGCTGGCAGCCAGAAGCAAGGCTGTTAGCCTAGTTCATGGTTGGGATCGTATTAAAAAAACGAACTTACTTAAGGGGTTTAGGGTTCAGGGTTCAGGGTTTAGGGTTCAGGGTTTAGGGTTTAGGGTTTAGGGTTTAGGGTTTAGGGCTTAGGGTTTAGGGTTTAGGGTTTAGGGTTTAGGGTTTAGGGTTTAGGGTTTAGGGTTTAGGGTTTAGGGTTTGGGTTTAGGGTTTAGGGTTTAGGGTTTGCCTTAGAAATGCAAAAATGTTACCCAACTATGACCAAGTAGCACGTCCAAGACGACCAGGTAGAGACTTTGCACGGTCGCGTAGGTGGAGTCCAGATTGCCCATGGCTTGATATACGGAGTTCAGGGGCCTGGGGGGCTTATGGCAGCCTGTGGGTTGAGGGGTTTAGGGTTTAGGGTACACGCCCTAAACCCTAAACCCTAAGCCCTGAACCCTGAACCCTAAACCCTAAACTGTACGGTTTAGGGCTTAGGGGTATGCGTTGTTACGGTTCAGCGGGGCCGCAATGCATGGCAACTCAAGACCAAAAAGCTATTAAAAGTTCCTGGAGCCATGGCAAGCCACAGGGTTTAGGGTTTAGGGTTTAGGATTTAGGGTTTAGGGTTTAGGGTTTAGGGTTCAGGGTTTGGGGTTTAGGGTTTAGGGTTTAGGGTTTAGGGTTTGGGGTTTAGGGTTTAGGGTTTAGGGTTTCGGGTTTAGGGTTTAGGGGTTCGGGTTTAGGGTTTAGGGTTTAGCTTCAGTCTGAGCCGTACACCCTATAGACCTTAAGCCCTATAAACCCAAAATCCTATAAACTAAACCCACAAAAAAGACTAAAAACCCAAAAGCCCTAGTACCCTCACACCAGAAATGGCATTATCAAAAAGAAAAACTCAAAGCCCTCAAACCCAACAACCCCAAAGCAAAAAAACAAAGCATAAACTCTGCAACCCTACAAACCTGAACCCTCCCCCTCTCCCCCAAAAAAGAAATCTCAACCTCCGAACACGCACGACATCAGCGTTGTTGAAGAAGGGCTTAGGGCTTAGGGTTTCGGGTTTAGGGTTCTTGGTAGCCCAATAACCATATTGTAACAAGGGTACCCTTTTTTTGGTTGGTTACTTTATAAGGGAACCCAGAACCCAAAAAAAAGGGGGTAAAGGGTTCCACTGGGGGCTACCAGGGGTTTAAGGCGACATGGGGGGCGGCGATGGTCCCTTGTGGGGTTTGGGGTTAGGGCTTTAGGGCTTTAGGGCTTTAGGGCTTTAGGGCTTCAGGGCTTTAGGGCTTTAGCGCTTTAGGGCTTTAGGGCTTTAGGGCCTTTGGGCCTTAGGGCTTTAGGGTTGAGAGCTGCTGCGCCGTACTGCCCGGGCTGGGGGCATAAGTGCTCGCGCCACCAAAGGAGTGGCGGACCATTGACAAGCCGGCGAACTCCAAGCTGATGTGTGCGCCTCTTAAACCCTAAACCCTAAACCCTAAACCCTAAACCCTAAACCCTAAACCCTTAACCCTAAACCCTAAACCCTAAACCCTAAACCCTAAACCTAAAGCATGGCATCCTCCGGCACGGGGACTTCACCCTGTTCGAGCGGCGCTTTTCTTGCGGAGCAGACGGTACGTTGCTCGCCAGTGTGTCTTCTGTGCCGAGTCATCGTCGCCGCGTGCCTCGGCAGAGCGAAAGGTCAATGCATTCGAGGCTTTCTGGACGTAGCCCATCACGTACTTCACCATATGGTGGTGACCGTCTGAGCATTGATCGACGCGGCACTTGAAGAGGTCTTCCGGCATTCCGGGCCTTAGTGCCCTTGAGGTAAAACCCCTCAACAGAACCCCTGAGCCCCAAAAAACCCTAAACCCCAAACCCTAAACCCAAAACCCTAAACCCCAAAACCGTAAACCCAAAACCCAAAACCTTAAACCCCAAACCCAAAACCCTAAACCCCTAACCCGAAACCCCAAAGCCCAAACCCTAAACCCTAAACCCTGAACCCTAAACCCCGAGCCCCAAACCCCAAATTAGGGCCGCAACCCTAAAGCCCAAACCCTAAAGCCCAAACCCTAGACCCTAAACCCCAAACCCCAAACCTCAAACCCTAAACCCCAAACCCTAAGCCCTAGCATCCCTAACCCTAAACCCTAACCCTAAACCCCAAGCTCTACAACACCCCAAACCCTAAACCCCCAACCAAAAAACCCAAACCCCAAACCCCAAACCCTAAACCCTATACCCCAAACCCTAAACCCTAAACCCGATTCGCGCCATCCCCAAGTGAGAACTGTGGCTCGGGATGGGCCTCTGGCTGTCCAAGGGCCTGCAAAGACAGCGCTTTCGGATGGAGTTAGGGCTTAGGGCTTAGGGTTGAGGGTTTAGGGTTTAGGGTTTAGGGTTTAGAGTTTAGGGTTTAGGGTTTAGGGTTTAGGGGCTAGGGTTAAGGGCTTAGGGTCGGAGTTCGGGAGGTGCCCAGTATGTTGGGTTGGAGTTTCGATTCTCAAAGCCCCCACCCTCAAAACCGTGAACAACGAACCCGAAACTGATGACTGTGTAGGTCCTAAACCCTAAACCCTAGACCCTTAACTCTGAACACTAAACCCTGAACCCTAAACCCCAAACCCTAAGCCCTACTAGGGTGTATTGTTTAGGGTTTAGGGTTTAGGGTTCAGGGTTCAGGGTTTAGGGTTTAGGGTTTAGGGTTTAGGGTTTAGGGCTTAGGGTTTAGGGTTTAGGGTTTAGGGTTTAGGGTTTCGGGTTTAGGGTTTAGGGTTTAGGGTTTGGGGCTTAGGGGCTTAGGGTTTAGGGGCTTAGGTAGATATAGCTTAGGATTCTATAAGGCTTGTGTTGCTATGGTCTGAGAGGGCTGGACGTCCCCCAGCTCTCGTGCCTTCGTGGCGATCGACCTGAACTTGTCCTTGGTAATTAGCCCAGCAACAGGGTTTGGGGTTTAGGGTTTAGGGTTCAGGGTTCAGGGTTTAGGGTATAAGGGAACGCAGAACCGAAAAACAAAAAAAGGAGTAAAGGGCACCACTGCGCTACCAAGTGTCCACGCGCCACTGCATGTCCACCGTGAACTCTTTCACAGCAATCTCGCGCAGGCGGTGTTGGGCTTCGGGTGTCCCTACAACCCTAAACCCGAAAATCCGAAACCCTGAACCCCTAAATCGCTTATCCCAAAAAAGCCGGACCCCTAAACCCCTAAACCCTAAACCCTAAAATCCGTAAACCCAAAACCCAACCCTCCTCAGCTCTCCAAAGCCAGGGTTTAGGGTTTAGGGCTTAGGGTTTAGGGTTTAGGGTTTAGGGTTCAGGGTTTAGGGTTGAAGTGATCCGGGAAACCTGAACCTGCAGCTTAAATCTGGACGCGAAGGGACCGCAGAAGCCCGGCCCAAACTCTGTGTCTTGAAAGCCTAGTTGCCTCCCCCCCCCCAAATCGGGCTTAGGGGCTAAGCTGCCCTAAACCCTAAACCCTAAACCCTAAACCCTGAACCCAAAACCCTAAACCCCAAACCCTAAACCTGCTGGATTCAGAAGTGAGCGCAAAACCTGGCAACTCCGATGCCTGGCCGGGGAGCTTCTTTTCAAGGAGACCTCAGATCTGAAGATTCTGGGCATATAGGATATGACTGAGTTGTGCTTTATAGGGTTTAGGGTTTAGGGTTTAGGGTTTAGGGTTTAGGGTCTAGGGTTTAGGGTCTAGGGTTTAGGGTCTAGGGTTTAGGGTTTAGGGTTTAGGGTTTAGGGTTTAGGGTTTGGGGTTTGGGGTTTAGGGTTCTAACCCTTGGATTGAAAAAAGCCGTTTCATGAGTACGTTCCTCTAATAAGAAAAGAAGGGAAATGGATTGCTATCCCAAAGCACAACCCAGATCAAAGGTTTAGGGATTCAAGGTTCAGGGATTTCGGGTTTATATAGGGTTACGAATTGAGGGAACCCTAAATTCTGTGAGCTGTTGGGGGTAGAGGGGTTTGAGGGTTTAGGCGTTTAGGGATAGCGGCTTTAGGGTCTAGGGTTTAGGGTTTAAGGTTTAGGGTTTAGGGTTTAGGGTTTAGGGTTCAGGGTTTAGGGTTTAGGGTTACGGGTTCGGCTTTTCCAGGACACTTACGGTATTGCATCGTGTCGTAAGGTGGGGGGGGGGGGGGTATAGGAGAACCGGGAGATTGCGTTGGGGCTTTTCCACTGAAATCTTCGTAGTTTACTGCAAATGGACCCAAGTCTCAACCATCGACCGACCCTGGGCACCAATGGATTTTTATTGGAAAACTTCTTAAGTATAAGTATAAATATAAATATAAATAGAAATATAAATATACATATAAATAAAAAATTAATATATATGTGAATATATATATATATATATGTATGTATACGTATATACATATATATATATATATATGTATATGTATACGTGTATATATATATATACATATATACGGGTGTATATTTATATATATACACATATCTATACATATACATATATATATATATATGCAGGTATGCACTTTAAGCATGTACTCGAAGAAACATCCAACACATATGGGTAAAAGTGTGCAAATGAGTGTAAGTATATACATATACACACATGAACTCGAACTACGCATGAGCCCCCAACTATGCCCTAAAAGCTAAACCCTAAACCCTAAACCCTAAACCCTAAACCCTAAACCCTAAACCCTAAACCCTAAACCCTAAACCCTAAACCCTAAACCCTCAAAAGGCCTAAGCCCTCCAACCCGAAGTCCACGAACCCGCAGCTGAGAAACTCTCCGGGGGCGCGTCCTGGCGTTCAGGGACCATCTCTCTGACTTTTCTTTTGGGGGAAGGGGTTCCTACCCTGGGGCTTAGGGCTTAGGGGCTTAGGGGCTTAGGGGCTTAGGGGCTTAGGGGCTCAGGGGCTTAGGGGCTTAGGGGCTTAGGCTTAGGGGCTTAGGGGCTTAGGGGCTTAGGGGCTAGGGGCTTAGGGGCTTAGGGGCTTAGGGGCTTAGGGGCTTCCGGGCTTCGGGGCTTCGGGGCTTCGGGGCTTAGGGGCTTAGGGGCTTAGGGGCTTAGGGGCTTAGGGCTCAGGGCTTAGGGCTTAGGGCGTAGTGCGTAGGGCTTAGGGCTTAGGGCTTGGGGCTTAGGGCTTAGGGCCTAGGGTTTAGGGGGGTGGGCTTAGGGGCTTAGGGCTTAGGGTCTTCGGGGTTTGGGCTTAATTTCAGCTAGCTTCAGGGTTTCAGGGGACGACTGTATCGGATTTAAGTTGGGGGGTGGTGGTTGTTAAAGCCGGCTGCGTCCAAGGACAGGGTTCTGCGCGGTGGGCTTAGGGTTTCTTGCCCCATAACCAACGTGTCTCCACGTAGTCGAGGTCAATAACTG